GATCAGCCACCTCCGTGATGATTTGATCATCAAGACTAAGTAATATGGTAGAGTGTGCCTTCTCTTCCATAACTTCTAACTGCGGGTCAGTCGGTCCGTCTTCTGACTCCGAAGTAGTACTCTTTGGAGCCAACGGACGCCATATCTGCTGTTGTTTTAACAGAGCCTTCATCTTAATTTGCCATAGCCCGAAACTATTTTTCCCGGTAAACTTCTCAATTCTTATTGTTGAATCTCCTGCCATTGTTATCTTCAAGAAACTCTCCAAGGATTGAACCTAAGCTCTTGATACCAATTGTTGTGCGACAGCGGAAGCAAAGATCGTAAACAAACAAGAAAACAATAAAGAAATTCAATGCAAACAATAAGAACAACACCAAGAATTTACGTGGTTCACTATCGATGTGATAGCTACGTCCACGGGCACCAAGATCGAATGATTTCACTATAAACTGCAAAGATTACAAAGATGATTCTTGTCTTTCTCAAAAACGGCTCTCCTCTCTCTCCACTAACCCTAATACTAATATTAGGGAGTTTTTTTTTTATATTAATCCCTAAAATAAAAGATACTTGGGCAGAAAGATAATAAAATAAGATAACTTAAAATCGCAAAATCCGCGTTCCGTATTTTTCCTTCTCCGCCCGGTCAGACCGGGCAAGGTCTGCCCGATCGGGCGCGAGAAGAAAACTCCATACGAATGCTTCAACGTATCCAACCCCCACCGCCCGGTCAGACCGGGCAATGTCCGCCCGATCGGGCGAAGGCTCGCCCGGTCGGGCGCGAGAGCAGCTTCTTCAACGAATTTGTCAGGCACCTCTTCTTCTTCCGCCCGGTCAGACCGGGCAATGTCCGCCCGATCGGGCGGACAAAGCAACGAAGTACGAGTCACCTAATACTTATCAACATTAACTATATATGGTTAACTCCCATTTGCCTAGTCGTTTCTTGCAAATTAAATGGCAAGATTCTCTGTACGCATGTAATTACAATGGTACCCCTTTCAAGCTGCTGAAAATGACGAAATTAACCCTAGATAAACATGTCACGTTTATCTTCGAGATGAACCGAAGTCTGCTCAAAACTTAATCTAACATTAATAAATTATATTGCTTATGAAACAAGCCGGGGTTTTTTCTACATTATACCCTTGTGTTTCTTTGATTTCAATATTGTAATCATGCCTTTTTATTGTCCAACTTACACCAATTAAATCATTTTAACTTCCGTTGCTAATAATCATTTTTATCTAGCTTTGCTTCTTACATCTTTGCTTCTTTTAGAAAGAAAAAAAAACAGAGAGATTAGAATGTTATCATACGTGGGTAGAGAATAAAGAAACGGTTATGAAATCAAGTCTAGCTAGGCCATTTTTTTTTTTTTTTTGGAAATAGCTTAATAAGACAAGATGCAAACAATCTAAAAATCGACACAGTAAAACACGTTTAATTAAAATGAAATTTGGATTAGGTACGCAAGCATCATACAATTGTACATAGCATATGAGTCGTCACTGGGCCATATGATTGAAAATTTTGCTATGGCAAAACATAACATGTAACTAGTTAGTGAGCTAAGCTAAGCTGCGCGGCGGGCCTAGGCAACCCTAAAACATTCTGGCTGAATCATGTTCCGGCACAGCCTACTTCTATGTTCATTCCATGTTTAAATTGAAACTGATGAAGTAATTAAAACTAGGAGAGGCCGCAAGGACGACAGGGGTCACTACCCTCAATGGTCAGAGAATGAGGGCAACCACTTGTTATTTTGTTAAGGAAGAAGATTCGAGTCATGGTGCATGCAGTGTTCAGGCTACTTTTACTATTTGATCAGGTTTATTAAAACAATATTGCTATATGGAGTGAATGATGGTCCTACGCCTTTAAATTATCTCATTCATAAAGGCATGCTCTCCAATCCCCACATCTCTTCTTGCATGGATGCATTCAATTCAACAAAATTTTCACAATTTATCAAAATTTTCAATTACCCTGAAAAACATGAAAGTCCTAGTCGGTATCATTGTAACTCAATTCTATGTTTCTCACTTAATCATTCTTTTTGTTAACGGACTAATTAAATTAAAAGTTTAACTTGATGGTTGAAGCTCAAAATCAGTTTTTATATACTTTATTACGCTCCCTGAACCCATTAGATTTGAAATGTGGATGTGGCTTGATCCGTTAACACTTTTTCTTTTTTTATGATGAGGAGGTAATCACACAATAATTATGATTGTGTTTCTAATTAGAAATATAAGAAATAATAATGAATGATTTGATGTCATTAATCATTATACAATTGTTTGATTGAACACAAAAATACAAAATATTACAAAGTATTTTTCAAGCGAAATTACTTTGTAAGTCGAATAATGTTTTATTTTTACAAGAAGTGTAAATAGCGGTTATATATTATGAATACGGATTCCACTTTATTGTTGGGAAAGTAAACTCAACTTTCTCAACTAAAATTTCTTCTTCTAATTTTTATTTTTGATTTTCATTATTAAAGGTCAAATGACTAAAAGTTGATGAAGAAAGTAGAGACAAAAAATGGAAGAAATGGTGAGCAAAAAGCTGGCCATTTGTTACGTAAAATATGAAGTAAAGCTATAGTTGAGACCATGTGCGAACTGGGACCTCACACCTTAGAATTTATGCACATCATAAATTCTCAATAAGTAACACAGCCATATAAACATCTTTTTATTAAGGTCGAGTTTTCATTTTCAAAGGGGGAAAAGAGTAGTAGACTAAGGCCCCGTTTAGTTTGATGTAGAATATTTTCTAAGTACTGTGCTTGAATAGTTGGTGGTAGTTCTAAGTACTTGAATAGTCAATGTAAATTTAAGTACTTTCTCTCTTAGCTTCGTGATATAAATAGTCACTTATACTATTTAAGGTGTTCGGAAAAGCTTACTTTAAAAAAAATGTTTATGTTTGAGATTCATAATGTATTATGCTTCAATTAACTAGCCGAATTAGTAATTTATCTCAAAATAAAATTCTTATTTCACCTAAAATTCTTTGTCTATGCTTAGCCTAAATTAACTAGTAGTAGTTGTTTATTTCACCTAAAGTTCTCTGCCTATGCTTCAATGTTTAGCATATTAGCAAAACCAATTAAACAACTATACTAGTTAATAATTATAATTAGTTGGGCGGCTATGTGAGCATTAATATTTATTCACAAGAGTATGTGAGAGAATGAAGACGAAAAGGACAATAATAGAAGATGAGAAAGTTATTAAATTTAGCTCATCTAATAAGCGACAATCTAATTCTGTATCTTTGATGAGAATCATTGACTATCAATTACTCTACAAATACCCGTGAAAAACTTAAAAGCTCTATGAACTTCATTTGATCATGTCAAGAAGAAGAAAAAAAGGTAGTACTAATTAGTCAAATAGATAAGATTAAAAAGAAGTAAATCATGATAAAGATTAATTAGAGCTATTTAAGTTGACTGAAAATCATAATAAGGTTTAATATGCTCAAATAAGTTTACTTAAATTGAAATGAGTTTAAATAAGGAGTAAATGAATAAATATTAGATGAAAAAAATACCATGACTTGAGTATTTATGCATGTAATAATAGACCATCTTGTACAAAACTTTCAACATATTTCGCTATATTATTATTTGCTGTAATACAATTCGCGGTAATCTTTGATCATAGATCGTATATAAAATCAAACTGACAAAAAAAAAAAAAAAAAAGAAAAAAAAAAAACAAAAGTTATGTCGTTGAATAATAAATTGTTTTAGTACATAGTACATATATAAACTATTAAACTCTAATTATTTATAAAATTTGTTAGGTTTAGCTTTAACGAACAAACTAAATAATACGAGTAACAGAACAAGTTGAAAAAGCAAGTGCAAGAATTTAAGTAACGTACTTGATAGGATCTTTTAAAATAGTACTCCGTACCTAGTTAGTAGTTACTTTTGTGGCATTCACGGGTAAGTGTTGAAGCTTGAAGTTGATTCCCCTATGGCTCCCACTACATTGCTTTCTGTTGCGCAAATGCGCAATACCATCAAGTACACCAAATTTATACCTCTATTTTTATTGTACATTTTTTTTTTTTTTAAGTTACTATTATTTATATAATTGAATACTTCTATTAATATGTCCATGAATCTGTAACACCACATCTAGTTTTGAATTACATAATTTCAAACAAAATAATTGATTATTTGATTATTTTGTTGGAAGTAAATTAAACTTTAGTTCTATACCTTCAACTTCTAGGAAGGGACCAAGGGTAGAAAATCGTTTTATTGATTTCAGAAAGATGCTCCTTTACACATATATTGATATATACCATCAAACTATCAAAGTGGTATAGATAATCATTGCATTTTAAGGCAATACACTTGAAAAAAGCCTCCATTTTATTTAATTTAATCCACTTATTATCCTTTCTTAGATGAACAGATCGAGTCTCTGCAAGATATTGGGGTAATGTTAATGTTAATAGTAAGGTTACATAATTATAACCATATTCAATTAATAAATTGACATTTTATCTTAGTTCTTATAACAAAATTTAACATTAACACTCTATATACTTTTTGTTTACACATACTAGTATTATATGGAGTATTATGCTTTTTTTTTTTTTTGTACAAATATTATTGTATTATACTTTGTAATATATATAATAATCCATATAATAAGTCAAAAATTACAAGACTATGGCCTTGTTTGGCAAATGGTTGTTGGCTGGTTCACTTGGCTTGTTTGACGAGGTATAATATATATGACTGTTTATAATGACTTTTGAAATTGGCTGTTTAAGCTAACTGTTTATAAAAGTGTTTGGTAAATTTAGTTGGTGACTATTGGCTGTTTATTAGATAATTTGTGGGCCAACAAGCCAAAAACCAACAAAAAAAGCTACTCATAGGGAGTCATAGCAGCTTTTTCATTTTGGCTTAAAAGCCATCTTTTTCACTGAATGAAAAGCCAATTATCAAACAATTTTTTTTGGCTGTTTGACCACATAAAAAAATCAAAAGTTAACTAAATAGCCACCAAATAGCCATTTACCAAATATGACCTATACATGAAATGACCGTCCTACACCATATATAAGTTAAAATTTTCGTTCATAAGTGGTCCTTACAATATTTTTCCATATATTCTTTCTGCGCACAAAATGACTCCTCGACATACACTTTTCACTTTGTCCTTAAGCTGCCCATATCCTAATTCATAAACAAAACATGTCCTCTCTTTTTTCTTCTTCTTCTTCTTCTTCTTCTTCTTCTTCTCCTCCTCCTTCTTCTTTTACCACCTACGTTACCCCTACATTATGTATCATCCTTATTATTCTCTTGACCACCATAACCACCTCACATTCTATCGTAAGCGGTCCGCCACCACCGGTGATCACAGCCGCTCGAAACGCCACTTACGGCCACCATCGGCAGCTATCGATAGATTACTACGCCAAGACTTGCCCTGAGGTGGAGAAGCTTGTGGCTTCCGTCACGTCGGAGCAATTTAAAGCTGCTCCCGCTATTGCTTCCGCCACTATTCGGCTTTTCTTCCATGATTGTTTTGTTGAGGTACATTATATTCATGCATAACCTTACATTATCTATCTAATAGTTAGAACTCTATGTTATAAACACACATGTAGCTAGGTTGAGTGCTACTTAATGATTATGATACAATTGTTATATGATTAGTAACAATTAATGTAATGTAATTCATTTTTAATACTTCATATCATATACTTTCCAAACTACTCTTCTTTTTAATTTTAATCCCTAAAATGACTAGTACATTACGCTCCCTAATTAAAGTCTTAATTACAAATTCGGTTTTACTCTTTAACTACTATAAAGCACGTATGTTATTCATATTTATATGTTGTGAAGCATTGGTTAAAATAATTTGCTACTTGTATATATGCTCTTAAAAAAAAATGCCTATATGGTTTCTTGAATTTGATTTAAGATATGTGCTACATCCATTTCTAATATTGCTTTCTACATAAGTTCTTTCTTAAGTATTTTTATATTTTTTTTGGTACAATTCTTTTATGTTTTTATACTTTGCTTTTGTTCCATTCCATTTCTTGTTATTCACTCATTTTTCCGCTTGTTGCCTCGCCTTTACACTCTCTTTGTTAGTGTCTTAATTAATACTTGTGCAAATAAGTGTCTTGAATATTTTGAAATTTTTCTAAAAAAAAAAAAGAATATTTTGTAATTTAGGTAGTAAATACATGATGATGATGATGATGGCCCAATAATTTCGGGTTAGTTCTGTTAGTTTGAGGGATGGACCAATGCATGTTAAGAATTTATGATGGTACACTGATGAGTATAGTGTATTGCACCGAAAAGGAAAACAATAATTATTGAAAACGATGGAAATTTATGTGTTCTTGTTAATGGAAAATTGACTAGTTGTTCCACACAGTAAAGTGTAATGTGATGCAACTCTAGCATATGCGGAGTATAAATGTATAATTTACTTGAACATGGAAATAATGGTTGTCCTAAAAAGGTAGAAAGTAATAATATTTTTTAGGCGCTTTTAGAAAGACCATGACAAATTGACAATCTTGCTCATCCCTTTGATCATCTAAACCCCCACCACTCAAACCCCCTTCAAGTATTGTGTGACTATCATCAAAATCTTAATTGTCTTATTAGCGAACTCAAACCACAATATAATAATTCGATCTTAAAATAATAAACATAAGTTGAACATCGATCATTAGAGTTTTATTATAATAATCGAGAATTATCAAAATAGATTATGTTCTTTTAATTGGTGATATAAAAGTTATAAGACAAATGTGATTATCTTATGGTGAGTTGGTGACATATTATTTTTTGGTGTCTAGGGATGTGATGCATCAATAATGATATCATCTAAGCCAGGAAGCAAAGAATTAGCCGAAAGAGATGCATCACAAAACAAGAATCTACCTATTGAAGCATTCGAAGGTATCAACAAAGCCAAAGCTCTGGTAGAGAGCAAATGTCCAGGAATTGTATCTTGTACAGATGTTCTTACAATCTCAACTAGGGATTATGTTCATTTGGTAAGTTGTCCTAATCTTACTTCTTTTACCTACTTGAGAACTAATGTGTCAACATTTGCACAAAAATTCCTAGAAGCAATACAAAATCAACGTGTTAACGAAATTATTCCTCCCCAAAAACTGAGAAATATAACAATAATCACTCTCAAGCCGAATTTCAGACTTTGGCTACGTATAGGTAACCTTTTCTAACCGAAAATGGATTTTGAACCTTGGAAATGATAACTTAAAGAATCAAATTGTGTTTTCAAACTATTTTGTCTTTAAATCACTCCAATTTAACCCAATACATACGATCTAATTAGGCCAATTATTAATTATGATACGATTTGATTTTAGATTACTTATTCATCTCCAGGTAAACCTCATTTAAGCTAATAATAATGATAAGACGACTCATCATTTTTAATTTGTTAAAACTTGAGTAGGACAAGAAAATAGTGCAACTCAAAGCCAACCTAAGACAATTACAAAACATATGCATGCCAGCTTTTGCATACGAAAACAAATTCAAGTTAAGATTAAACAAATATTCTCATTTGGTTTATTGTATTAGCCTGGAGATAAGACTCTTAAACTGAAATCAAACGACAAAATCAGGTCAACCTTTTTCTTATTTCGAAGAAAAAACCAAAATTAACCCGTGACAATTGATAAATCTTTCTAGATTTCTTAGCAAGTAGGACATATTATATTGAAATAATTAGTGCATGATGAAACCATATAATATGTGTGTTTCCTCAAATTATATGGGGCAAATAATTTCATCAGTTGGGAGTCAAAAGCTGCACAAACTGCAAGGTCAAATTGTGGTGCTTTGAGCTATGTACAGAACACTGCAGTTGGAGACTTGTAAAAAACAATTGATGTTTAATTAGCCAATAGCGGGAATTAATACATGGACAAAATGTAGTGGTCAATTAAAATTGTTTGAACAATTTACAAAGACAATAAATAATGAAAATTTTGACAGCAACAACAAAACAAAAAAAAAAAAAAAAAAATAAATAGAATTGGGATTATTAAATTAAAATTTCTCAATTTTACCAATTCAGATTTAATTCCAAGTATATATTATGAATATGTATACTCATATGTTAATCACATACGTAGTATATAATATAGTTGACTTGCTTTATATGATCTACTATAAGTTTTTAGATTGATTGTACCTACATGTGAGTATGTGACAATTGTTTTGAAAGTGGGAAGGAATAGATTGTATGACCCGTTTTTCCAATATATAAGTGTTATTGAATTATTGTATAATTGATGTTATTTACAGGCAGGAGGTCCTTATTATGAAGTGAAGAAAGGAAAATGGGACGGAAAGGTATCAAAAGCATCTCGTGTGCCTTCTAACATTCCTCAAACTAATGCCACAATTGATGAGCTTTTGAAGCTATTCAACTCAAAAGGGCTTGATATGGAGGATCTCGTTGTTCTTTCAGGTCAGTGGCAGATCATATACAGTAGTTATAAACTACTGTATGAGGTGTAAATTTATCTATATCTATTTCCACCATTAAACTTCATATTACTATGACTTTAATATCTAAATTTTAAAATTTGGATTTTTATTTGTCTATGTGTCAGGTGCACATACAATAGGGTATTCACATTGCAAGTACATTATCAATCGAATATACAATTACAAAGGTACTAAACAACCACAACCAAACATTGATCCGAAGTTGTTGCAAGCTTTGAGAATGTATTGCCCACATCATGGTGGAAATGAAGATATTGTGGTGCCATTTGATGTTACCACACCTTATACATTTGATCATGCATATTATGGGAATCTAGAGAAAAATATGGGAATTTTGATGACGGACCAAGCCTTATACTTAGATCCAAGAACTAAACCTATTGTACAAAGTCTATCCAAGGATAAGCAGAAGTTTTTCAAAGCATTTGCACAAGCTATGGAAAAAATGGGAACAATTCATGTGAAAAGAGGAAGAAAACATGGGGAAATGAGGAGAGATTGTAGTTCACACATGTAATTGGATTATTTTTTCTAATTTTTGGACGGGCCCATGTAATGGGATTCTATACGTATATCAATTTTTTTTTTTTTTTTTAAATTTTTGTTTTTGATGTGCAAATTTTCTCTCTATTTATTGATATGTCCAATATGAATTTAAAATAGTTATACGATATTGGACCCAACCAATAACTATAGAGAGTGGATATGTATTTGTTAAGGTAGAACAAATTTACAAATATAATTTAATATGAGACAAACTAATTTCTAAAAAAACTGGCTACGATGAAATAATCTGTAACAGATGATTAATTGGAGTGACACAACTAGTTAATTTGTCTCTAAGCTCAAGAGAGGGCTCATTTTCCATTTAGAACTTGACTCTTTGTTAGAGGATGTTTGTGTACTAGTTTTCATTTTATTATTGGTTGCACAATGTCAAGAGGGATGAAAACTTTGTTAGTTTGTTGCCCATCACCTGGCTAGAGTAGTGCATTTGTGTATCAAACAAATTTTTGGAAAATCATTATCTTAAAGAAGTACTCCACATTATCTTATGTACTAATGGATAAATTGTCCCTCGACTAATGAATGCACTATATATTCTCCTTTTTTTTTAAAAAAAACTTCCATATTTTTATTTAAAAAAAAGATTATGCTCTTATTAAATTTAAAACTGTAAAATAAGTCCAAAAGAACGGGACCAACATTAAAATACCTTCACTAGAAATGGGCTGATTTTGTATAGAATCTTTTCCACATCCAGCGTAATCATCAAATCCATTGTAGTCTAGTTGATGGGTACTCGGCTCTTACCCGAGAGACCCGGGTTCAAGTCCCGGCATCGGAATTCCCTTTTTTTTGCCCTTTCTACAAAATTGGCGGGAACATCAACCAAACAGTGAAGCAACAACACTCCACTGTATCTACCCAACGAAGCTTACACTTTGCAGTTTCCACAAAATTAGGGTTTTCTTCCCCAATTAGATCGAAAGAGGAGAGAGAAAATCAAAGCTCCAAAAATGGAGAAATTCAGAAGAAGAGCAACAACGACTAACAGAGGATTGGAAGAGAATACCATGGCTATTCTTGAATCTTTTTGCGCGCATGATTCTTCTCATGTTCATGATGATCGTATGTTTCCATTTTCTTCCTTTAATATATATATATATATATTTTTTTTTTTTTTTTTTTGGGATTTGGTTTGAATTTTGGAAATTGATGATTTGAAACCCTAGGTTTGGCGTTTCTGGAGGCGGTTCGTTTTGCTTCGATTGTTCCTGAAAATGGAACTCCTCCTACTAAGTACTTTTTCTGATTAAATTTGGTGTTAATTCATGTATATTTGATGATTTTGTATTTTGTTGTTTGAATTTTAATTATTTGTAAAAAATGTAGTAAAATGATGGAGGCGATTTTCGAGATTATGATGGAAGCGAAGTCTTTGGAACTTATTGTAGCTAGTTATCAGCTTCTTTGTGAATTAGAGAAGGTATAACTTGCTTGATTTGATTAGTTTAATCATTTAAGTGAGTGCATAGTTTTACAATCATGGAAATTGTTTTGTTTGATTATGTAATGTGCAGCACTTTCCTCGGGTTTATTTATCGAATGAGGTTGATAAGGAAGCGCCTTCCAGCAAATCTGCCGATCTAATTGTATTTGAAGAGGTATTATGGGGTTGTTGATTTTCAATTTTGAGTAAATTTGGTACTCAGTGATTTGGTTTTGAAATGTGGTGTGTACTTTTATATTGTGTTTGTAGGCTTGGTTGCCGTTTGCTGTTGGCTCTGACGTGGCTTCGAGTGACAGGAATGTAGCGAGTAAAGGATTTAAGGAACCTATTAGTCCTTCTGTGAGTTACATTATCCTATTCTTGTGTGTTTATTTAGGGTATTGCAAATGACAGTACTTTTCTTATCCTTGGCTTGATAACTTTTCTCTTGTTTTAAATTAATGGTCATGGATATTAGTTTTGGAATGTTTGGAATAGTTGTCACCTCCCTTAAATCACAATGCTTTAAAATTGGACTTGCCAAAATGTCCTCATGTAAATTGACCAAAGGGGAGAGTGTGTGAATGGCCTATCTATTATTATTATGGGTCTTTCAAAACCATGATATCATAATCTACAAGGTGTTGGTTTGATGTGGCAACTATTTCTCGTGTAGGGAGTATTTTCTTAGATGTCGCATACTTTTGTAAGGAAAACAATATGTGTCATAGTTTCTACATCGTACCATGCCTTACATGCCTATATTGTAATTTGGTTTGTAAGTTGTAACTGTTGTTTAGTTATGATTTGAGGGGAATGGAGGGGAGGATGCAGATTAAGCTTTCATAATTACTTTATCATGTAATTTTGGGTTTTGTTAACATCTGAGAAATTATCTATTTTCTTTATATATTATTTGCTCCACAAAACGGAGCTTAGGTTTTTCACATCCTCATTCCTCACCAACAACCAAGTTGTTCTCCTCACTTCTCAGTCATAAGCCCCTCAAAATAATTTAGCATAAGGATTATTTGAATCTCATTTTCGATTGGTATTTCAGGGATTTAAGCTTCTGTTGGAAAGTCTCAATGAAGAGGCTGAAGGAATAGAATCGTCAGAAACAAAGGTATACTGTAGCTATCTCACTCCAAGGGCTAGAAAGTTATGTAAATCTAGCTATTATAATCGTTTTGGATTTCGGGACCCAAGTGATATCATTTGCAGCTACAGAATTCATTTGCCTTTATTATTATTATTATTAATACATTTGCCTTTATTTATTTTTTTTTATAAATTAATTTTATGGTACAGTTAGAGCTCCTGGCGAAGATGTATTTGTTTCAATACCTAGTCTATATTTTTGAGGCAGACTTTTTACCTCGTAACCGTGACTTTCAAGGTAATTCAGAAACTGTCTACGTTGCTTGCTTTTCAAATTGTGTAGTTTCTTTTCTTTGGTGTATTGACTAGTTTTAATTTTTCGTCTCAGAGAACTCAAATTGGATTTCTCTCAAAGACTCCTTGCTTAATAAGTTTCTGGTATGTTTTTTGATTTGAAGATGATGGGTTTTTTTGTTAGTAAAGAATTCGTTTTCTGTCCACTGAACTACTCTCTAGTTTGAACAACCATTTTTGCACAAGGGACACTCATAGTGGATTTTGTGACAGGGGTCAAGGCAAATTAATTACAAAGACGTGGCAAAGGATACCTTCTTTGTTCTATGTAATTTGTTCCTTGCTCGTACTCCAACAAACAGTAATTCAGGAACTACCAAAAGCTCTTCAGATGATATGCGTAACAATAATGATTCAGCTTTAGCTCTTTCTTTACCAGAGGTAGAGAAGTGTACTCTTAAAGCTGTAGAGAAACTTCTTAAAATGGTATGCTTATACGCTGTGATGTCGTATGAAAGAGAGGTTACACGACAACTTTGTTTTAACCCTTATAAACTGTGATGGTTGTTGCTTCCAGATGATAAATCTTGACTTGTCAAAGAAGAAAGCAGATGTGCAAAGCCTCACTACAAGAGCAGATGGTGTAAGGTATCCCCTATCCTATTAAGAATTGTTGGCGAAGGCATATCCAAATTCATCAACAATATTATATGTTTGGTTCTAAAATTCATATGAGATTTGTAGGAAAAGAGGAAGTGATTGAAAAAAGAAGATTCTAAACTGTTCATGTTCCTTCCTTTTAATTTACTTTTACTATCTTTTCCCTTCTTTCCATTTCCTTTATTAAAACAATACCGAACAACCTATGAATGTAGTTTGTGCATGGTTGATTTCTTCTAACATGCCTTTGCTCTGCATTCTCTGGTGTCTGTCTGGTGTTATTTTTTATAGACATTATAATCTTAGTTATGTTCTGGCATGATTGCAGAACCCCTATGATTGAGTTGATAATGGATGAACTTTTTTATGACAAAGATCTGCTTTCTCCATTTCTTCAGGTATAGTTTCTAGAAGTACAAAGTCTACTCCCTATTGAACTCAGTGGTGCTGCTCCTGCTGATTGCTCATATTTCGATTTTAGGCTTTTGCTCTAAGAATTATTTTGAAATGGTGGTTTCATTTTTTATGACATGATTGGTTTTTTTTTTTTTTTTTTTTTTTTTTTTTTTTCTCTTGTCATGTTTAGATGCGCAGTTGGATTTATTCATGCCATTTTGTTTAAAAATTCATCATGAAAATATAATGGAGCTGAGCTTTTCATGTCTGTAATGTCTGACATTGTTGTATGTTCTGCAAACTTCTGCAGGCCTTCGATGATCCTAGATTGAAGCTGGAGATAGTTTCACAATACATCCATAAGTACAATGTCAAAGTAAGCTCTGTATCTGACTTGTGCATCAAGCTGCAAAAATAATCTCAAGTTTTCTATTAGTTTGTCAACAGTATACTTGATTATATATGTTTATCTAAGTAATCAATTCTGAAATTAAAATGCTGGTAGCATTTGAAGTGCATTGTAATGTATCTTTGTAAAGACTTCCAGTTAACAGTTACAAGTAGTCCCTATCATGGAGTATTTCTTCTTGCTTCCACAAGTCATTGTCTTTTCATACTTGACTTTGTCTTTTCTGATTTACCTGAGCCATTTTTTTCCTTGTTCCCTGTGTTATAATTAGCTGCATTAACATTATCAAGGGTCTTCCATGTGGTGGTGTAAACATTACATTCAATGTTGGACCCAAATGCGCCTTAACACTCAATGAATCTAATCCTTTTTCACCTTCTTCCATGTGGTGGTGAAGACATTGTATCCAACTTTGAACCAATATTCTCTTTATTGCTCAATGGATTTAATCCTTTCCCACCTTTCATTTGGTTAAGCATGGCTGTAATTAGCATTAACAAATGTAGTTAGTAGTAAAGATTCCAAAATCATTTAGTGTTCTATCCTCTTTGTTACACATTGGTTTTTATTGTGGTTTGCAGCCATCTACTCGCAAGAGGAAGCTAGATGACTCACAAGATGATACGGCAGTTATTGGATTCTTTAACTGCTTCTTGAATAGCACCAGTACAAAAGCCATTGTTAAGAAAGTTGGTGCGGAGGCAGTTCAAGTGATGTTAGCTCATGCTCTGCAGGTGATTATATTCATTACACTGTCTTCCACCAATCCATTATGGAGGCTATTCATCTTTGTTGAACTGTTTGGATATCTGTTTTGTTTTTAGTTATTGAGGAAGGTACTTTTAGATTAATATTTGGCCAAAGGTAAATTGATAAATAGGATTATATGGGGTGAGGTGGCAGTTGCCCCAACAAGGACTAGAAATCTGTCAAATATATTGCATATACTTTTGTTTGCTTGAAAGCATAATTTAACATGACATCACTTTATTTGAACATGTTTTTCTGTAGGCTTGCATGTCAATACCCAAGGAGCAACTTCATGAAGTAACATCTGATTCGAAAAATGATGCTAGACGCAGTCCACTGGTAAACATTTGCAACAATATCATTTCAGCCTTCACCAAGCTCAGGGAAACAGATGAGTAAGTTTCTCAAGTCTACATTCTTCATGTACATGTTTTTTCTATTTTATATACCATTGATTTTGCCTGATTATAATTATATGTGGTCTTAAGATTGAAGCATGGAACGATATTGTTGTACTCCTTTCTTTTGACATGAATACTCACTACTGTCTAGTTGAGTCTTATAATACCAATAGACAAATGATATGACACTCGATATAAAGGAGTGTATTCAATCATTCAATGATTTAAAAGTATAAAAGCTAACTATAATATGATAGTTCACTTAGCATAGAGTAAGTTAATTGATTGATTATGTGTTCATTAATCAATATAGATGATAAAATGAAACAAACAAAGATATAAAGGTGGTCAACATTTCTCACCTTTACAATTTTAGCTTAAAGACTAGACCTCACAGTCTGGTCAAGAGTTCCAGATGTCTTTTTCAACTTTCAAATATTTCTGGTTTTTCAATTGAGAAATTGATTTTGGAAGTACGCACCCATTAAAGAGCTAGTGGTAGATGGTTGCTCACCAAGCTGTCATGTTATTATACCTTGAGCTAACATGGAAATGTTTTACAATATACGTGCAGGCACTTGCAAATATTGCCTATTGGTAAGGAAGCACTATTTACAGCTGCTAGTGTACTTTCTACTAAGTCATAGGAGCTTTCAAATCCTTCCAGAGTTCACCTTTTTACAAATCTTGAAGGTATCTGCAGGCCAGCTGCTCTTTAAACATTAACTTGCTCACGCTTGCATTGCCTATTTGCCTGTTCATAACTTGCTTGTTTGCCCATTTCTTTTGTTCTGAGTAGAACATGCTTTCTCCTGGTCATGCAAGGAATGATTGTGAAGTTAATCGACACTTGTGCTTCCGTCCACCAAGAGCAACACTTTATGTAGATTATGTCAACCAGATTTTGGAAGTTACGGCATTTAGCTATCCAGTAGGGAATTAGCTAGCTTAGGAAGGTGCTTGTAAAGAGTTTTCATATCTGGACTGCAGCTAGGTAGCACTTAATGTGCGACATTATAGTACTAGACGATGCTACTGTATATAATGAATTTGACTAACCATTGGTTTCCTTTGCTCTTAGTTGAGATATCTAATTGTCAGTTATTTTTTCTTCTTGTGGCATCTACCAATTAGCATTATTATGTATAGAATTGCTTTGGCTCTGGTGTTTTGTAACAGGAAAAGAAAGTTCAGTGATTATGAGTACGAAAAAAAAATCAGAAACTTTTTAGTCTAGAAAGTTAAAAAACTAATCATTTTTTCCCAAACATGAGATTTTGGGGAGAAAGAAAGACTGCACGAAGTGTATAACTTGTTACTACAATCTCAAATGGTGCACATCAAAACTCTGTAGTAGGATCTTAGCTCGTATCAGAAAAAATATAATTTGCATAATTTTGTTCCTGTAACAATTTATATAAATAAGGGAAGTGTTGCCAATAACCATTGCAGGTTTCAGGAAACAAAATTGGCAGTGGTCATACAAAATAGCTGGCAATCAAAGCTGGTAAAAAAGTCATAGAACTGTGTATCCTTTTCTATTGCAATTTGCAATAAGGTCTTCTTTCGTTCAACCTATGGCTTGTGCCTGAATGCACAAAGAATAGCCGAGCAATATTCGGAGAAATTCAGTACAAGAAACAATCTCTACTCCCTCTAAATTTTCCTAAGTTGCAACAATATCATTCTCCCGAACCAAGTATAACAAACTACCCTGAAAACTGTTTAAGTGCAAGCCTTGCAACTTGTGCATTAGCTTCAAGAACACAATTCTTCCACCAAATTATGTTCCAACAACTTTTTGGTAAACACATAAACACAGGTTCAGCTTCTGATCCAATAACCATGGTCAACGGAGTTATGGTTCTTCTGCGTCATTGTTACTCCTAACATGACATTGCTAGCTTGTCAGCATAACACAATAATGTAACAGTAGCCCCAGATACTGATAGAGTATGGTATAAATAAACTTAAAGAGTAACTGGAAAGCCTTACTTAGATGTGCTTAACTTAGATGTCTGCGGTGATTCCAGTTGCAATGTCACTGGTCCATCATTAACCAGATTGACCTAAACATCAAGCAGTAAAAGGATAAATTTTCGAAGAAGTATGCAACAGAAACACAGATATCGAACAAACTAAATACTTAATACAAAGTAAGAAGTATTACCTTCATCATTGCTCCAAAGATGCCATCTGCAGTTATGTAAATGAAACAGAGCAAGTGAGATATTACATATTACCATACTATCAACCATTGAATGAGCATGTCAAACCCTAGCAAACAAATCCATTCTTACGACCAAGATCAGTCCTATGCTTTCCTTTTACATGATCAAAATTCCATTCTATGTCTATAGCCATCCAGATTAGGTTCATATTTAACATACCAAGACTATTTCAAAAAATTCAAGGGATTAAAGCTCGTTGAATAAGACCTTAAGAAATTTTAGTATGTATATTTCGAAGTTATATGTAGAGGGAAACTCGTGGAGAATCTTGGATATAACTTTCATCTAGCAAAGGAAGATATAAATTAGAGGATACTTTCAAAATGAAGGTTTCATAATGAGCCTAGTTATTTCCCCCTAAACTCAAACTCATGTCATTACTGAAAAACCCAAAAGAATTACCTAGCACTAATGACTCGTTTGGTAACCGGTCATAAACAATGGTAATGGGAATGAATCTGTATGTAAATTTGGGAAGGAAAAAAAAAAAAAAAAAAAAACCCTATGTTCATTCCCATGACCACTCAAGAAGTCAAGATCACCCCAAATTGTCTCTTTTTCTTCATAAATTTCTATTCCCATCTAGTACCATCTTGCAACTTTGCAAGTGGTAATGGATGGTATAATGGAAAAACATGAAGAAAGCACATACTTGGGGATTAGATTGTGTTCCTATGGAGATTATGGGTGTTTTCCATACTAATTTTCACTATAAATTCATTCATGTTACCACAATTATTAATGGCTACCCAACGGGCTGTAAGTAGACTTAAGCCACGGGCTGTAAGTAGACTCAAGCAAAATGCATCCATTAACAAAAGTAACAAAGCATTAGTGATGCTGAGTACATAAGGCCAGCCTGCTCATCTTCACAAAGAAAAACATCTACAGGTGAAATGATAACTACGTAATACACATCTAAATATCTGATCATACCTCAGTTTTTATCTGGTTCAAGATCATAGTTATTATAGGGTACATGTAACTTCACCTTTTCAACTGTAAGTTGAATTACAGCTTTTCTGGGCTGCGATCCATCAGCCCTTGTTAACACAGACAAACTAGGTACTTTACGTTACAAATAATAGTTATTGACAGTGGCGGATTCAGGATTTCTAATGAGGGGTATCATTTAACAATAAGAAGGAAAAAAAAAGTAGAAACGAGAAATTATATACTAAGTATACATTATCGTTTGATAATTAACTTATAAATTTTTTAATTTATTTTGGTGGATAAATATTTATTGTACAAATATAGAAAAATTTATATTATAATTGTCAATATAATACAATGATCAAATTAAAAAGTACTCCATATGTTCGATAAATTACTTTTGTATGTACTCCGCATCTATTATTCATAAGGTTAAAAACTATATGATAATTTATACTGTTATACTATAAGTAAAAAGAAATTATCACCCATATAAAAGTATAAAACTAATATGTAAATATATTACTTACCAAATATGTGCATTGAAAAAATAAGAAGTGCAATTAAAATGGAAGTATTTTATCAAATGAACAGGTCTTATTATAAAGAGAATAAGAGAGTCATTTTATATATTTTTTCTTTATATTGGGCATCATGCCAATATTTAGAAAATAATTAAAGTTTGAATATAAATTTATATTATTACTTAAAAAGCATAGATTTTACTATTTAAATAAAGAAAGATAGAAAAAAATGGATGAATACAAATTAAATATGCACACATCAACACATACAAGTAGAAGAAAAAGTAAAAAATAACAATAAGAAAAAAATAAAGTCAATAGAAAAAAGTAAAAATTTTTTTTTTAAAAAAAAAAAAAAAAAAGACAACCTAAGAGATCGGTTTTATACATAACTGGTCTCTTTAGGTTTAGAAGGGGAAGCGCGCAGGTTAGATATCAGTTTACTATGGGAATCATCAAAGAGACCTGTTATTTCAAAAAACAGGTCTCTTTAATTTTATTTTTTTTTATTTTTTTCCAGGGGTAGCAAGTGCTACCCTTTGTTACTATGTAGGTCCGCCTCTGGTTACTGATGCTGTTAAAATATGAGCCGGCGAGCCTCTTATTATCTTAGAACACTCTTTTCTAGAAAGCAAACATATAGACCCAAGGTGACAAATTGTTACATACAACAGTGTCATAGACTCAGAGATAAAGAGCAACCATACTCCAAATGTATATTTTATATATTAGAACACAAATCATGGCTGAGTAAAACCACTAACTCTTTCCTAATTACCCGAGCCCCATTGCTCCACTAGAAATAATTCAAACTTTGCTTGAAACTTTCTTTGTGGAAATCACTTAAGCAATGAGGCAGAAAGAATCTTAAATTGTCAAACAAAATTTCTCTTCTAAAACTAAAAAAGAGGTAACTAGATATCCCTTCAGGTCACATATTGTAACAGCTGGTAAACATACTTCCTGAAACTACAAGTTTGGAAATGTTATTGTATAATACGAACATTAGGATGATTTTTTTTTTTGCAGATGTACACGTATATTTGCATTCCACCTTTTTAAAACTATTGTAAAATACATTTAAGAAAAGAAATTGTGTTACTTAGAATAGAATATACCTTCAGTTAACATATCATAACAGTTATCGAAAAGTTGACAACAATGATCAATAACAGCATAATTCAAATTTCAATATGGCAAGCTCTCAAACAGGTGAAAATTAGAAGAGTCTATTTGTGTTCTTTATTAAGTTGTACTTATGGAATGCAGATAAGCTAATCACATTAAGAGCAAGTGTTGCACATTTCTCAGAGGATAAAAGGAAGCTACCTTTGATCGAGTCAGGGTTGTAACTCTTGCGAAAATTCTCCACCACAGCTTCGTAGAACGGTTTTGCTCTTTGTGGAGGCATAGCCACATGAAAATCTGGCTTGTTACCCTTCAATGTTCCATAGAGTGTAAATTGACTCACTGACAAATTCACAAAAACAACTTCAGTTTTCCAACACAAAACAAAAGCTCAAAATTCTAACAAAATAAATCTTCTATCTTACCTAATAAAACCTCATAATTTTTCTGCATAACCTGAAATATCACACCAAACCAATCAACAAACTATATATTATCTTCCAAAAACACATTTAAAGTATAAAGATATCTCAAAAACTAGAAACAAAACATTCAATTCGAAACTGATATATACATTAAAATGTAGAGGAAAGTGGGTCTTACACTTTGATCCCAAGCTTTACCTGTATTCTCATTTGGGAATAATCTCATATTTAACACCTTCCTGCATCTGTTAAAACTGCATTTCTTAGATTCATCTCCCCAAAAACATTATCATATACTCATACAAATACCCAACAACTCATCAAATTCATTTTACTATAAAATCATGACAAATCCACATTAATTGATTAAGTAATCCTTAATTAAAATATACTCCATCAAATACAATCAAATCGAGTGAGTGTCCATTATACACCCGAGTTTTGTACACCCAAGTCTATCTCGATTTAAATTAAAATAGCCTACCCGGGTGTATAATGGAATAAAACAAATTCAAATTTCCGCAAAAAATAAAATATGTCAATGTATTGAAACATGTACAGGTAATTGGAGTCGGAGTCGGAATCGGAGTCATGAACGCCGATGAGGACAAGAAGGCCAGGGCCAATCTGGGACACAATGCTGCCATCAACCTGCACAAAACCCACAAAAAAATCAAGATTAAAAGCGTCAAAAAATGAAAAATCAGCAGAAAAAGAGAATGAGAGAGAGAAAGTGAGTGGACAAACCTCAACGCTGGCAGAGGTGACGCGTTGAACAACAGCTCTCATTGCTCTGGTAATGAAGAAGGAAGTTCTGGGTTTTCGTTGAATTTGGAGTTGTTTGTTATTGTAGGAGTAATTTTTTACAAGATGAAGAGGATTTAAGAGGGATGAAGAGAGATTGGGAGAGTGAGATGATAATAATGTCATAGCCATGGGGGGTTTTGGTTGGTTGATTTCAAAAGGTCAAAGATCAAGCATTTTTTTTTATAAAAAAGATATGGGCTTTAAGTAGAGCTGGACATGGACCAGGCCGGAATAAAAAAGGTTCGACCCAAAATGAGCCTGTCACAAGCTTGCCACACGACGAGAAGAATGCCGGTGGGCCGATTGTGCTTGAACATTAGTTTCAAAATTTGGCGTCGTGTAAACCCACATATTTTACTACTAAATGACTTACCAATTTTATATGAGTTATTGAAGGGGTCTAATAACATGACATGATTTCCATGCCATATATAGCGCAAATTTTAAGCTGGACTCACGCCCAATCAGAGCTGGGTGGTCCCATGACCAAAAATGAACATATACTATAACAAAAATGAACATTTAGTAATTGAACATATTTGAAAAGTGGTTGGTCCTCCCCAACAAAAATGAACATTTACTAGAAAAAATTTGAACATTTAGTAATTGAATAAATTTGTTAAGTAACATTGAAACTGCAAATGTATATCAGAAAATTGAGATGAATATTTTGTTAAATAACAATGAACACTTTTTTTTTAATGAAAAATGAATTCCAAATCAAAAGAAAGAAATATCTAAAACTTAAAAATAACATTGCAATATATAAAAATGAACATTTATAATATAAGAGTAAAATAAAGAGACTATGAAACTGAAAAAAAAATATTGTACATCTAATATTATATAACTGATCCAAGGAGTTTCAGTATGAGTTTGTATTTATGTTGCTCCATATATTTTGTGTGGAATTGATTTCTTAATTATTCGCCACTGAAAATTGAATGTAGTGTATAATTGTGCTAATTAGTTAAGCTTTCGTAGAATTACTGAGATTTAAATTAGTTTATAGGGAAATGACTTTTCGATAAATGTTCATTTTCATTTTAATATATGTTCATTATGATATTAGTATATATGATCATTTACAATTCTTACCTTAGATCAACAAGGGTTCAGTCTTTGAGAGAAGACTACCATAAATCTGTTTACCTTCTCCTTTTAAAAAAAAAAATTATCATTCACATATTAATGAATGTATACTGGGACTTAAACAAATGTTCATTTGAATTTAAATACGTACATGTTCATTCTCATATCGGAGATATTCACATAGACTAGGATGATACATGTTCATCCTCATAATAATATATGCTCATGATTGTCATTTGAATATTATACTACATACAATTTAGCTCTAATATTGATAGATGTTTATTCGAATATTGATACATAGATGTTCATTTGGATATATGTATATTCACACATATATTTATGTAAGTTCATTCACATATTAGAATATGTTCAAAAACAAATCACATATTGTTCATTCATCGTAGAGCTTTGATAATTCTATTTTAAAATATAATATAATCTTATAGTATTTCATTCACATATAATATCAATACATATTTCTTTCAAAAAAAAAAAAAATGATATCAATACATATTAAGTTGTATTTTGACTTATTGAATTATTAATTAATGGTCATTTACACATTAATAGATGTTCATTTTGATTTTGATATATGTTCTTTTTCATATTAATAAATGTTCATTTAGAATTTAATGCATGTTCATTTATATATTCACAGATGTTCATTTTGATTTTATACTTTTTCACTCTCAAATTAAAAGATTTTTATTAATCTATAGTGTGTTCATTTTTGAATTCGTAATTGTTATTCATGTGTAAATGTTCAAATTTGAATCCTTAGATTTCACGTACTTTTGTTTGTAATGTGTTCATGATTGTTATTAATTTTTTTTTTAAAAAAATCAATCTCTTATTATATATACAGGATAATCAAGTAAGGAAGTTGAGGGCGGCATTATATTGTGCTCAGATTATATTTTTAAAGGAAAACACACAAATGTCATATGATTAGAGGTGCAACAAGGAGCATATATCTATACGCACTTTATTATACAAAATGTATTAAATAATGTTCATTTAACAAGACATATATGTACATTCGGAATTTAAGAGATTTACTTTCATGTTTATGAAACAATTACATGTAACAATATATATAGAAATGTGTTATTATTGTAATTAAAATAATTTTTTTTCATATTAGATTTTTGTAAACAACGTTTTATTTAAATAAATTGAATTATAAGACGTATGTATTTGCATACATTTTACTGTTCTACTTACAAAAAACTCTTGAAATAGACATTTGATGATACAAAAATGAACATTTGTTGAAATTAAACATGAATAAATAAAAATGAACGTTTGATGATGCAATACTTCTTATAATAAAGATGATTTGAATGCAGTAATACTTATAAATAAATTTGCTCACATTTTTATTTATAGAAAATTCTAAAAATACAATTAAGAAAATATATTAATTTGAACAGAATACTCCTTGTTAAAAAAATGAACATCTTATGATACAAAAATGAACATTTATCAGTAAAGAAATGGACATATTGTAAAAATTTAAAGGAAATTCATAAATGAAAAGGGGAGGGGCAGGGCACGCGCAGAGGGTGGGGGGGTGCAGGCAGTGTTATCTGCCCTGGGTATAGGCAATAATTTTCAACCATACATAGGTTTTGTTTATGTAAGATCAACACGAGCCAAATGACTACACTAGTATTTAGCCCGTTCTAAGCACGATTTTCTTAAGCATGTATGAGGCTCGTTGGCATAACACATAAGCCTACATGCTCGTTGGTACAACAAATAGGCATACACGACTCAACCCATGCCTAACCCTAGCCTCCCACATAGATGGCTAAGGTGAACCACCATATGCACAATCATCTTAAAAAAAGAATAGAGTTAGAAGCAACCCTAAGCTAGAAGAATTAGAGGTTAGAAATTAAATAGAGGAATGGAGGCGAGGTCAAAGAAATCTATTACTAAAGCAAAATCTAGGTTAAAAAGTTACCCCCCCACCCCAGGCAAGAAAAACCAATCAATTGTCCTCACCAACCTTAACTTCAACAAAATAAGAATAAACTTCTACCTCATGCCCCTTTTATTTGTGATTTAGATATGAAACTAGTTTAGCAATTGCCACTCATATTAACAATTAACAAAACAATAGCAACAAGCAACCAACCATGATCGAAAAATAAATGATTGTTGAGGCAATATTGTTCTTTGCCAACAAGTTAATTATTCCATCTTGTTTTAGAGTATTAAGGGGCTGCCTCTTGAGTTACCGGTTTCAAAAATTGATAACCTTGCTAACGTGATAACACAAACAATAAGGAAGCTTTCCCAAAGAAAGTAAAACAAGTTAGATTGCTTAAGGAAACGAGTAGATAAACATATGACAAAAGATACAAATGCATTCCATTAATTAAAGGATAAAGTCAGGTCTACTGTAATACCCTAGAATTTCCCTTCTTTTAAAATACTCTCTTACTCTAAATAAAACTCATTTTTAGGAAATATCTAAATTATTACCGCCGCCGTGATAACGGCTAAGGCTATTTTCAAAGTCACACAGCGGAAGACTAACTTTAAAAAAAAACTCAAATAAAATAAAGTTTAATAAAACAACTCAAACTTTAAAACCAACTTACATTAAACCAATAACTTGGAACCATTAAAGGCCTTTTTAAAATCAAACTAAAATATTAAGACGATAGTTATATGTTAGTGTCAGCAATTACATAAATAATTCAATACAATAAATAGTCAATAAAGAAACATATAACCCTCTTCGCTCAATCCCATCATGCTTGATATGCTCCTTCTACAGTACTTCTCTTTATTTCAACCTCACTACTCGCCATATAAAATGGGTCATAGTAAGACCAATCCAAAGAAAAGTCAAACGCTAACAACAAAGTACGAATTAGTAAAAGTTGAGTACATATGCACCAATAAAAATAATCACACTAATATGAATATCCTAGCAATAGAAAATAAATAATTAAGTAAATAAATAAATGAATAAAACATGCTTTCCATACAACACAAGTCAACTTACCTTTGACTCATGACTCTACTTTAATTTATTAATATATAGTTTTGGATAACGCATCGAACGGATTTCCTTCCTTAAAAATAGCCCATTAAAATATTGAGCTTCCAATTAGGGAGCTACCCCAATTGGCACCTACTATGTCACCTTGTGACGGAATTCCAGCGCATTAATAATAAAAGAAAGTACAACGTCCTGTACCGCTGTAGAAGCTATAGTTAAATATAAAACTCCATAACTCCCCTCATATGTTCATACTCTAGGTGTATACGTTCCAATAATTTTGGTGCGTATCCTCTTACACTTTACGTGATTTACCGATTTAACTTGTGATGACTCCAACCAATTAATCAAGAGCAAACATAACAACAATCAACACATACTTCCATTTCATTCTTAAATTAATTAGTGAGCACATACCATTTATTTTAATTAGGGTTGCTTGCTTGCCTAGTTTTGTGCACAAAATTGCACGATTATTACTTTGGTGCATAAAATGCACTAATAACTTCCTTGACTCAATATCAACTTATGTGAGTGAGTAATAAACTAACTTCTTGACTTGACCTCAACTTATTTGGGTGAGTAAATAAATAAGCTAACTTTCTTGACTCAAATCCAATAATAAACGGGTGAGAATAAAATCATGAATCACCCTCAATGAATATAACTTTAGCTCTTTAAAAGATATATAAGTCTTGCTTAATAAATACATGCCTTCTTGATGAGGAATAATAAATAATATAACATGATTCAATTACTTTCAACTTGTATAAAGCTCATAATAATAATTCCAATATACCCAATTGCTTACATATAAGTAGGGATGTTAGTGGGGCGGGTCAAGTAGGAGACCCGCCCCATCCCCGCCCCAATGGGGCGGGGATGGGTCTCGGTTTGGCGGGTGGTGGGGCGGGGATGGGGATATAAATCATACCCGCCATGGGTGATGGGACGGGGGTGGATTTTAAGTTGTACCCGCCCCATCCCCGCCCCGCCCCACCCGCCCCACTTCGTACCCGCCCCATCCCCACCTCATACCCACATCTATATATCTTTTAAAGCAAAATTACATACTTTTATTCTATTTATAAAATAATTACATGAAATACAATATTAATTAT